TCAAAATTTTGGCCAGTTGCCACGCCATTTTTTATAAACAAGAGAAAATGGTGGTGTGATTCCTCTTTCCTTTTTTAAATTAATCAGTGAATTGATAAATCACTATAAATGAAATCTAAGGGTCAGTCAATGCAAAACAGCTGTCAAGTGGCCCTAGCTCAATCAGCGAGGAGTAGGGGGTTAAGAGACTTTGTCGGATTAAGCCACAAATTCCCGCGGTGTCAATCGGAACTTGTTTTGCCTGACCACCCTCACAAAAGAAAAAATCTCACAGTAATGATAAAACCTAATTAATTGTACACAGAGCGTCAAATAAAACAAGATATATAAAGAAGAATCACAATATATTATCAAAACAAGCAGCGCATATATGCTCCACCACTAGAGTGCAAGTTAAAAGGAATGATATTATTCAAAACTACCTGACAATAAAATTATTAGACCGTGATAATCAACCTTGCGAAACGTACGGAAGCTTTACAAATATAAGCTTGACAAACATTTTAACGGCTAAAACTAAACTTATCTGGACAGTGGTCTAGGCGCAGCTGAGATGTCCACAGCTTACAAACGCTCAGGTCATAAACCATTTGCCACCAGAGGGCAGTGACGTAAGGAATGCCACAAGGTATGGGCTGCTTGCCTGATTTTCCAAAATTTGCGGTATACAAAACAACCTAGAAAGAAAAACACTGCTTGAAAATCTACTCTCTATTCTCTGTCTGGGACAAAACTAGACATCTAAAACACTCAAAACTTGAAGAAAAATCCGTGTACATTCTCTTTCACAAGAAAAGTAAAGCAAAGGTCAGAAAATATAAAAACGTACTAAAATGATATACCCTCAGAAAGTTATCCCTTGTTCTAAAAAAAAGTTATGGCAGCTTAAAAATCAAAATCATGATAAATGTATTGTAGTAAGCCCAAAAAAGGTGACATGTAGGCACTGCCCTATATTTGAATATGAAAAATGCCAAACAAAATCAGGAGCACACTAAGAGTTTCAGACAGCAATAATCAATATATTAATATCTATAAAATACCCAATTAAAATGATGTTTTACCTGTTTCCATCAGGGTTTTTTGAAAAGGGGAAGGGGTAACTTCCAACAAATCAACAAAGCTGGAGGAGTGTGAATGATGGTTCTCCGCAATGCCTGTCCACCAAAAGGCAGCAGATATTGAACAAAATCCCATTAGAAAATGGACGGGGTAGCACCCAAACCAAAACAACTAAACGTAAGGTACAAAATAAAAGGGTACTTCTCCATAAACTGGTGTTTTGAATTCTAATATCCCAGAATCTGGAAATTAATGAAACGATACCCACATCACAATCTCCGCAGGTAAGTAAATGACGCAGTAAACCTAACTTTTTGAAAGAAGGTTTAATGAGTGGCCTTGAAGAAGGTATGCTCGACAAAAGGAACGGAGAAAAGCGGGTAAAGAAGGTATTTTGATAGGTAGAGAAGTTATCTCGATAGAAAATCAAATTTTATCAGAAAGTATCTTGATATGAAAACAAATATTCATATACGCCTAGTACGTGTAGAAATCACAAGGTGGCGCGCTGGTTGCTAATGGACAGAACAACAACATTTTATGAGAAAATTTCTGAGATAGTCGTTAATAGTACTATAACATTAGTGTACAAAAGATTTCAACTCAATACTGAGTCGATCAGAATGAAATATATAATACGTGTGAAATTATGCAATCAATAAGGGAAAAGGGTTTGTCCCAGTAATGGGCACTCTACCGTTAATAAAGAGAAATTCAAATTACTAGTAAGTGATCAAAATAGTGAAAAAGAGGTTACGTGATTTTGGTACGTGACACAGTCTCAGGGGATTGACAATAGTTACTTCCCCCTCATCCTTCCCTCTCATCTGCGACATCATCACCATCCTGAGAGGATTTTCAAACTTGATCTCTTAAGTAATAAACGACTACATACGGCCGTTTCCCCCTTAGCAGATACTGAACACTACTGAGACAATCGCATTACTCAACTGGGTTACTGGAAAGCAGCTGTGGAAGTGGCGTCAGATCATTCCGGATTCGGAGTCAATGAGAAGGCAGAAAAACCTGTAGGAAAAACATTATCAGTATGATTCCTAAAGTGAGAACTTGTCTGGAAAATTCCAGAAACCACAATCAGAAATCCCTTGCCAGGTCAAAGAGGAATTTTGAATTAAATACAGGCATAGGAGAAAATCTGTCCCGGGAGTTTGACGCTAAATAGGCTGAACAACTATTTTCGTTAAACAGAAGCTGTCTAAAGACCTCAATTTTTACTAGGAAACTACATAACATTTTCAATTGGGTGCAGCATCGCACGCCCAAATAATTCTGCATTGATTCGCGAGTTAAGTTCTTAGTAAAATATCTTGTTTCTGCGTATATCAAGAGACTGTCTATATATTTTAGAATCAAAGTAATTTGCCATTTCCAATTGTAAGAAAGAAAAAAGTTAATACTACTATACAATAGAATAAATACAATAATACAGATTGCGAAATTCTACTGCTACTACCGGCAACCTTTCAACAACCATGACGCTTTTACCCTTGGCCTATTATTTAATTGTTGCATACCACCGGCAATTCTGTCGCGTGCTGAAAAGTGAACGAGTTGTTTTAAAAAAATGGCGTCAAGTAGGTTGGCTCAGTGATTGTAACGCATTTTTACCGATCCTGTGGTTTTGATGTTGATAGAGCTTCGTTGTCTGGCCGCTAGTTTAAACCCCATATATGCTTCAATTACTGTTTATTGTACAACGTTTTGGCTACCACGTTGGCCTTTTTCAAGTACAATGTCCTGTCTCCATTACTACGTATATATACGTATAGTGTGTTACCACAATAGTTTAAACGGTCCTATATCATGCCGAGATTGTCGAATGCCATCATTACAATTGCAAGATACCGCGTAAAACCAGAAAAATTCCAGGAACCCCTGGGATAGGAACTGCAGTTCCCAAAGATCACACATTGTATAACGATAGCGCTGCTTCCTTAAAATTGTCTGGTTTCTGGGTTAACAGACCTGACAGACTTACAAACTGACACTGTGACTCAAGAGCTAAGGTCCCACGGACCGCTCTGACAACCAACGATGACTTGACTGACTGATAGCGCTGCTCTAGACTTCACTCCTCTATATTCGCTTAGTAACATCACCGAAGCGTGTGATCAGTTCTATGAAATACTATTCTCGGCAATCACTCGGAATGTACCCCGAACACTGCCAAGAAACACTTCTTACCCTGCTTGGTTCAACAATACTATTATTTCTAAAATCAAGAAAACGCGAAGATTATGGAAACAGTGTAAAAGAACTTGTAATCCTGTTGACTGCGACGCTTTTCGAAATCGTCGAAGAAACATAAAAATTAGCATTGATATTGCATTTCAAAGGTATACCACTAAAATTGAACAGGGCAGCTACCAACCCTCAAATATTTTGGTCTTTTATTGATTCTTTGAAAAATACTTCTCATATATCCCTGATACCATGATGTTTGATAAAACTCCCGCAACCTCACCTGACTGCGCCTCATTACCCTTGAATATACCAATAATTACTGAGAAACAGGTTAAGACCACTTTGAAAAAGATTAAACCCTAAGTATCTTCCACTCCAAATCTAATCCCTGCATTTTTACTGAAAGACTGTGCTTTTGTTTTAGCTGAGCATTTAGCTTATCTGTATAACACATCTCTTAATACTAGTTCCCATGGCTTAGAAAAAATCTAGGATTGCTCCCATATTTAAAAAATGCCAACGTTGTGTCATTGAGAATTATAGAGCTGTTGTGATTATAAGCAACTTTAGTAAGGTTTTCGAATGTATATTGCATGATATAATTTTCTCCCATGTTAAGCACGGAATGTCTCCAAATCAACATGGTTTTTTCCAAGGCAGATCTACTTTAACTAATCCAGCGTGTTTTAAAAAGTTTTACTCTGAGGTTGTTGATGAAGGGGGGTAAGTAGATGTTGCTTACGTTGACTTTTCAAATTAGCTACGCGAGGGTTGACCCATCAATTCTTGAATTTTTTCAAATCTTATCTGACAAACAGATGCTTGAAAGTCGAATACATGTGCTTCACCTCCACTCAAATTATACCTTCTTCTGGCGTACCTCAAGGGTCTGCTCTTGGCCCTTTGCTTTTCCAAATTTTCATTGATGACGTCGTTGGGGAACTACACAGTAGGTGTCTTCTGTATGCAGATGACTTGAAGATTTTTTTGTAAAACTGAAACCATTGACGACTGTAATATATTGCAAAACGACTTGAGCAACCTAAATAAGTGGTGTCACCGTAACAAGCTGTACCTTAATGCTGATAAATGCTACACTATGTCTATTACGCGCAAACTTGTTCCAGTCAGATTCATATATAACACTGACAATTCGCAGCTTAACATGTGTGAAGAGTTTCATGACTTGGGTCGATTCTTTGATACCAAACATACATTTGTTTCGCATATAGATGCTGTTGTTAGCAAGGCTTATAAAAGTTTGGACTTCATTATCAGGAATTGTAGGGATTTCAATAATGTGTATACCATGATCTCGTTATATAATTCATTTGTTGGATCCAAAGTTGAATACTGCTGTATAATATGGTAATCTGTTCATGAAGTTCACTCGAATAAAACTGAACGTATTCAGAGGCGGTTTGTGAAATATTTGTGGCACAAGGAAGATGGTACGTATCCAGAATTTTTCTTCAGGCATGATGTATTACTTAGCAGATATAACCTACGTAACTGGGAGAAGCGCAGAAACTACGCTACTTGTGTATTTTTATATAAAATGCTTAATAATGCCATAGATTGTGAATATTTACTAGGTAAGATTCTTATTCATGTACCTAATGCTAAGACGCGATCCAATTCCAAATACTTTTACTTAAACGTAGCTAGAACCAATGCGTTGCTTTCCTCTCCGATATATGTGGTATGTAACAACTGTGAACGTGTAAGAAACGCTGTAGATTTGTTCTTTTGTAATTTGAGTAGCTTAAGATTTTACAGAACAGTAGGTTAAGTCATTTGGCAATTTTAAGTTATTTTAGAACAATTTTGTCTTAAAATTGATTCCTGTGTGCCTGTCCGTTAAATGATGTAATAAACCGTTCGGATAGTGTATATACTAGTAACTAAATAAATAAATAAACCCCAAACTGACGACCGAGCATCTGTCCTTTTTTAATGTGCCAGTCACGTCAACTTCGCTCATTGTCCCAAAAATGCTAGACGCTCTCTGAGAACGCGAAAATCCACCCCGAACTGTTGTCCCACAAGATACCAGGTCACTGTAATGCAATCTTCGACTTTTAATGTTGCATATGCGTTGTTCTTGGACCTGAAATGCTAGGAATATTACTTCGACGCCTAAAGGGAACCATGTTGTTTATTTTGTGAGGAAGTAATATAAGACGCAACAGTTTGGCCTTGAGATAGCAAAGCAAAACGTCTACGCATTTGAAAAACCTGAAAATAAAAGACTTATGGACCATCAGTTGGTTTGGAGAATATCATTTATATCTTTCCTTCAATGATACTCAACAAAACTCCACAGAGGAACTAGAAAGACAACGTACCTATCTATGTAAGTATAGAAATTGTAATGCTTTTGTTTAATCTATGAGGTGGACACCGTAGCTTTCGTGCAGTGGCAGTCCTCTAAAGATAAACCCATCTTGCTTGGATCACATTGCTTGCTGGAAAATCTTAATTTCATTAGAAACTTTTACAAAATTTGCGCGGACGCAGGTGTTCCTGAGACACCTTAACGGACTTTTTTTCATAAGTAATATCATAAGAGCATCTAATTTTTCCGGAAAAATTCGATAAAACCCGTTGCTAAATAATATAACAAGAAGCACGAGTCTTTTTCGACTCGGATTTTTGTATACTTTATCTGAAGTCACTTGAAATAGCATAAAAACCTTTGGTCGGCGCGTCCTTTGTAATTTCATGACGTATCATAGGCGTGCGGTCATTTATTTAGAACGATAATAATAATGTTTTTATATCACAATAAATGGATTTTACTATGTTCTTATTTTTTTTGATTTGGGATAAAAAATACTTATATTGGGAGTTTAATTTATGTTGACTGAAAGTTAAGAAATGGAAAAATTACAGAATTCCAACGTTTGACATAGGCAAATATTTACATAGCAGGTAGGTATATAAAAAGGTATATAAAGACTTACATTATAGGTATTTATATATCATCCTCGCCTTCGGAGCTGTCACTAGAGTCATCTTGTAGAGGAATTACAACGGGATTTACAGGAGGCAAAACACAATATTCATTTTCTTTTTCAATAATATGCCTAGAACACTGCTTCCATAGGTCTGTGGCAGCAATATGAGATACTGCATCTCTTATTGTGGCCAATAGCGATTCACTTAATTGAGGGGTCTGATTATGTTTTCTTACTTTTTTTTTAAAGCAGCCCAGACCAATTCAATCGGGTTAAAAATGCAGTAATAGGGAGGTAGACGTAATACTTCATGGCCATTTTGCTGAACATACTCTTTTTCAAATTTTTGTCTTTTAATAAGATCCAATAATATGGCTTTGGTTGATTTTTGTGGTATTTCCATTCCCTTATCCTTCATAAAATCAACAATGTCTTGTTTTTTTGTGCCTGTATTCGGAATTTTGTTTTTCTGTCGGGAATGGTATGACGCATTGTCCATAATAATCACTGAATTTGGGGAAATGTTTGGTATTAACTGCTGCTCCATCCACTTTTCAAATAAGTCGGAGGCCATGTCCTCATGATAGTCGGCACATGATTCTTTGATATTTTTGGCAGATAACAGCAAGGCATTAGGTATAAATCCATTTTCACTGCCAGCATGGAGAATAATGATTCGTTTTCCACGGTTGCATGGTGCATTTAAAATGCACTTGTTGCTGTCGTCAACCCAGCCGTACTGCACAACATCATGGGTATCATACCACGTTTCATCCAGGTAAATCAGATTTCTTTTCTGCTCTCTATAGATTTTAACTTTGTGCAAAAATTCTTGGCGCAATTCAACGATTCGAGACGACTCCATAATCACCATTCTTTTATCTAATTTTTTGTATTGAAAACCACACAGTTTTACAATACAGTGCAGTGTATTTGTAATTATAAAAATCTTCAGGATAATCTTTTAATTTATCCCGTATCATTTCCAACGTGGGCACCAAATTTTCTTTATAAAATCCGTATATTATACGACGAATATCTTCCTGAAAACCCACGTCTATTCTTTTTAATTTTTGCCCTATGCGCTTTCTGTGGAAGGAATGGTTGACTACATCTCCCCTTTTTATAACCCGATAAATGGTAGACCGACTGATTTTTATCAGGATACAAATTCTGTTTAAAATTTGATTTTGCGAGGAATCTGGATTTTCGTTTTTCAGACAATCATACATATTTAGGATTACTCTTTGGGTCTCCACGTGGTCTCCACGTGGACCGGTGAAACTGCCTTTGATCTTATACGGGGGATATTTGCTGCGAAATTTGGCGATTTTTGCAGCAACAGAGCGTGTTAAATATAGATATATAAAACGCACCCGGTATTTCACAGTGTTTCAAGTGACTTCAGATAAAGTATACCTGTACCAATGTTTTTGTTAAAAAATATTACTTTGCGTTGTTTTATCCATTTTTTTCACAGGAAAAACTTGTATTTGACAAGAGTATTTCATGAGTAACCGATTATTCTGCACACACATACAAGTAGCTTACAAAATTGATTGACAATTAAATCAGAAAAATTGTTTAACGTCGTTTTCTGGTGACCTAGGAGACCATAATTACTTGATATCAAAGGTAAGTATTGTAATTTTTGGTGATAACAGCTGTCAGGTTTTTCCGCGGGAAAACTCGAAAAAACTGCTGACAGGTGCTGTAATACAATTTTTCCATCTAGAAACCATTTGTATTTCAAAATTGCACGTTTGTGATTGGTAGAAATCATGACGCCTATATCACCCCACTAAAAATGAATATCTTTGTGAGGGGGGAATGCATTTAGGCACCTTACCATAGGCCGAGCTACGGCGTGTGTAGGACTCCAGGTTGTCTTGAGGAGACCACCTAATACCCACTAAACCCTAACCTCCGCGTGGCCCGACTCATCAGCGTCTCGGTAAGGCCACGTGTTGTGCCTGACTGCTACAGCGTCTCCGCATGTATTTCAGTCTCTGGGAACGCCGGGTTGGTTCCCTTTACCTCGCACAGTTCTATCGATGTCGTTAAGCGAGCATCGATAGAGGGTCTGCTGCGTTCTCTTGAAACTCTTGTTTTCGAAAAATCAAGAGTTTCAAGTCATCTACCTGTTTTGTTGCCTGGTCCTGGTGGGCAATATTAACCTGAAGGCTGTGTATTTATAACGGACCAGGTATTCAAAGATCATCAAAGGGCGGATACCCTCAGATTAGCATACGGAATGGTTGGTTGTATATTTCTCTTTATCCAGGAAACACCTTGTATATCGAATTCGAATTTTGCGTGGGAAGTAATGGAATTTAAGATTGCTTTATATCACTTCATACTTTTACATTCCTTCTGTATACGCAGTATAATATCGTATAAGCCTATCACCGTTTTTTCTATACATAATTCTGTAATAGCCTATTTATTCATACAATAAACGGCTTCGGTATACATTCACCTTATCAACTATCAATCTCTTCAGTCCAGAAGCAAAAGTGAATGAACCTTTTCCCTGTAATACCTGTTCTTGTCGTTACGAATGTTCCTATATAGATAAGTCACGTTATTTGAACAATGTCAATAATGATTGCTAACGCACGTTTAATAAGAGTAAACAGAATAGGGATAGTGAGACCACGCTACGGTCAAATCACTTTTTGCTTCCCACGCATCTGGCGAAAAAATATTGTAATTGCGAAAAGTTCAGAGAATCAGATATTATATTTGTTGATATTAAATAGCGTGAACATCACGAACAGTGCCCCTCTGTCTGTTTTTGGAAATCAATCCAGTGGAGGTGGAGCTAAAATCAAAAGACGAAAGAAATATATTAGATAATAGATTGGGAGCTGTAAGGGGTGTGGGCAGGGACTTCTCATTTTTGGCGGTAATATTTTGATATGCTTCTATCGCCGATAATTCTACGCATCTCTTAGTACATATTTCACTCATCACAGATTTTCCCATACATTTGTCCTTAAAACAGACGCACCTAAGTGCACATAATCCTGTCTACACCGGACCGCTCGCCACTCACCGCTGTCGCTGAGTTGTGGCATGGCTGACTGGTGTGGCGCAGCAACGTTGCCAGATAGACGATACTGTCAGTAGAACAGGGAAGAAAGTTCTAGATGGCAGCGATATCAAACGGCTGACAATGGTAAAATCCGCCGGCTTGCGAGAGAGGCATTTTGGAGAGTATGGCTTTTTTTACTTTTGTACCATCACAGAAGCCTAAGGCCTAAAACTCGTGGGTACCTTGGAGTTATAGGAGATATAGGGGGAAGGGGAGACGTCACATGGACGCTATCGAAGCAACACGCGTGCATGTGACATGCATACATTCTAGCCCCGCCTTACAGATCCGCTGGGTGGTACCTCCACGTTTGACAGACTAAGATCGTCTACTACCTACGGAAAATGACAAGTTTCATAGCCAAGAGGAAAATTTTCTTCTGTTCGGTCAACATATTTTTTAAAAATTGCTGGTTTTACTTAAAAACGATATCCCGTGGTCATGCAATTACAAGCGATCTTTATGGGAAACTATCCATCCCTGAAAAAAAATGTGACTTCTGAAAATGTTAGCAGCACCGCTTAAGAAATCTAAACGTCGTCACCAGAGAGTGATTGTGTTATTCGTATATTCACTATACCTTAGTTTAATATCCGATTGAAATCTGACTGCTTGTTGTAAACGCTATTTACTCGCCATACCGATGAAAGGTAATCGATATTATGGCTTATGGCAGCCTCTCAGCCACCAACTGTAATGAAATATGTAAATTATGTCAAGTTCTATTATGGAATTGGTTGTGTGTCTATACTTAGCAAAAATGTAATTAAGCGTTGTTTGTTTACTGAGATATCTGCTGAATATTTCATTACGAAAAGACGTTTAATCACAGGGGAAGGGAAAAAAGGTTCACATACTACTATAAAAAAATGACGTCAAGTAGGTGGACCCTGTACTTTCTGTTATCAGTTCGTAATAGTTTGTTCGCCATATGTTAGCTTCTATTAGAAAGAAGTTAACTACGAACATTTATAACGAGGAGTTTCAATATATCAAGTCAGTCAAGCAACTAGACTCCAGCCCCAGGCCCCCGAGAATCTCGTTGCCTCTTATTTGCATATCTAGTATAGTTTTGTGTTCCATATTAAAAATTTTCAAGTTTGGCTCCTCCTGAGACAATACGCTATCACTGGAAGAATGCCCGTGAACATCCATGTCTGAATTACAAGCTTTCGGTACTATAATTTTACCGTTTTGTGCGCCTGGCTATGCCGCCACTGGATCAATTTTATAAAATTATAAGGCTTTTTCGTCCTTAGCATAATTGAAAGCTTGTGTGGAAACTTCTTCAAAATCCGAACGGTACTTTTCAACAAATAGACAGACCGACGGAAATGAGTGTCATGTTGTTATTTAGCGTACAAAAAACATAACATTAATTTAATTTCCAAAGTTTTTCCTGGTCATTGGCGTAAGTAGCAATGATTGGTTAAATCTTCAGCTGTATCAAACTGTGCAACAGATTCGTCTCGGAACCGAGGAGGGCACAGACTTCAACAGAAGGAATGGATTTTTCTTAAATGTTACATGGCTGTTTTCTAGAAAACCAAATGATGGGGAGCGATCAAGCCAACAAAATCTGCTACGCTTTTAGACTTAGGTAATTTGGGGCACAGAATTCGAATACGACTCGAAATACGACCATAAAAATCACGAATTGTCGTCGATCTCACGCCATATTAATGTCGGATTTAGATGCAATACACCCGATTTAACCAGAGAATGAGTTTCCATCCAGATCGTACTAAAATACACAGAAATTATTTTATAAACGTTTTATAGTAACTATAGTTAGCTTTCCTAAATTGGCATTATAGAACGTCGGGAAATTAAGGAGTTGAGCTGCTGAGCTTGTAGGAAGCTTATTTTTTATTATTCTATTTGATTTACAACACGTACATTCTTACAAAATACAGATAAGACGACTACAGTAACTGAAAGGAATGGAGATTTAGTTGTGTTATCAAGACAAATCTAGAAACACGTCATATGTCAAAATTCATCAAGCCGTATAAGCTCTTGAAATAAAAATTTCAAGATTGATTTCTATTAAAATTCGCAATTTTGTTTTTATAAAATTTTAATGAATCCAGTGTCACTCTCACTGCTAAGACAAATCCAACGACACCTCTATGTCAAGCCTCCCACTGAGGCAGTCCGCTAAAAATACAAAATCTCTACCAAATATTTATTTCTAAACGGGCAACATTACGTGAGAACAAGGTTCTCAAATCCTCAATGATATTTTTTTCAATCGAATATATTCTTTCTGCAAGCCTTTCGCACACATAACAAATGCAAAAATACTGTAACAACAAGATTTTAATCCAACCATTACGATTGCGAACAACAATATTCATTGTAACTGACTGGTGTATATAATAGCAGGAAAAGGCAAAGCTAGTTTACAGTCCAACGCTGTCTTACAAAGAGCAATTTACACATTAATGTTTTATTTAAAAACAAAACTCAGCCATCCTTTATATTCAACCTACCTGATAATATGGCAATGAAGCAAATTCTGTTTCTTACTTCCCAAGACACACGAAGAAGTACAGTAATTGTCAAATATTTGCAAAGTGATGTAATTCCACGCACCTATCACACATACTTCATAGATCAAAGTTTTCCCCATACATTTGCCCTTAAAAGTTGAATTATAAAGATATTTCTTCGATGTGCGTATACCAGACAACTACTCAACGAGCGCACACCTCTCTGCTTTGGATCGCTAGGGATGACTGAGCCATCATGCGTGAAATGCGAGTTTTCGTGTGTAATATAATAAATTATGATTTTTGTATGTTATGGTCTAAGAAAATTAGCTTAAATATCGTCTATCAAACCAATTGATTCTAATTGTAATTTATATTTGTACATTTTGTTTTGACAGTGCGAATGACACTGGGTAAACCAGAAATTCATAAAGGCCAAACGGCTCGATGGATTTTGACATTTGAGATATCCTTAGATTCGTGATAACGCAATTAAAACCTCATTATTTATTTTCAGTTGCTGCAGTCGGGCTTTTTAAAAACTTAATGGTTTTATTTTATTCAACTAAAATGTGTAGCTTCTAAAGTATTGAGCATACCGTAAAAATGTATCCTTACTTGAATATAATGAATGGGAAAGTGTGGATGTTTGTTACTCAATCACGCCAAAATGGCTGAACGGATCTGGGTGAAATTTGGTACAGATATAGAGCATAGTCTGGAATACCACATAGGCAACCTTTTTTCCAGGAAATTAACTATTCCTCCAATCGCCCACCATCAGCTTACCTCCCACCTCAAGGAATAACTCTACCAATTTTCAAAACTACACGAATTATTTGATCTCATTTCCTTAATTTTATCAGGATATTACATGACATCTAGAACACGATAAGCGATCTGTCTATCTTGCCTAACAATCCTTAACCCTCTTATAACTTGGAAAGTACCGGTCGGATTTTGATGAAAATTTGACAGGTTATTACTATACCAAGGATCAAGATTCTTTGCAGTTTTTGAAAATCGATTCGGTCGCAGCATAGCCAACGGTAAAAAAAAACGGAAAAATAAAAATCACTGACAGTTGTCGTTCTAGAAGCTCTTAATCATTTTCAGAAAGAAATCGTAATAGTTACAAATTGAAGGTTGAGAGGGGTGGGGAAAGGTATGTCTCTATTTCACGTTTGCATATTTATACTTTTTCAACCCCGGAAATTCTCGCATCAATTGCCCGTGTTTCTCACATAAGTGCATTTACCATTAGGACTTTAGAAGTATTTTCAATACACGCGACTCGTTGCGGTTGCACAGTGACGCAACGAACGTATGCACAAAACCCTGTGTGTAGACCTGACCGTCACTCTGACGCGCTGTCTCATGGTTGACTGGTGAAGCTTAGCAGTGCTGCCAGTTGGTCAGTGCGGTTGGTAGGCCAGGGAAAAAACGTGGATGTTTGCAAGTATAACAGGTATAAAAGTCACGAATATCGTAAAAGTCATAAAAAACATCAATGCAAAGAGTCTGGTAAAATAAGTGGAAGGAGATCGAATGGAACCTATCGCTATTGTAGTCCAGAAATGCTTTTTCTACTAATTTTACAATATATCTTACAATTTTATTCGGTTGAAAAGAAAGAGATGCGAGAAAATTCGAGAAGATTCAAGCATTTCCAAAGGGATCCGGAAAAAATCAAATTAAAAAATGTCAGTAGATACTTGTTAGCCCATATCACCCTTTGACGTTGAATCTTTGACTATGTTCATATAATCCTTTTAGGTCTGTCACAAGATAAAGTGATGGCAGGGAAGACTAAAATTGAATTGACAAAGGGTGGAAGAAAATAGTAAAAAATGAATGTATATAAATACGTCTAGACATGAGGTTAATTTAGATTTTATGGTAACAAAAGACTATCTGACAAAAATAGTAGAAATGGTTCGATTTTTATTTAAAAAGTCCGATCTCTACACGTGTTATCGGTGTAAATATAGCTAGCTTACGCAATTTTTGCTAATGTTGCTATATCGAAGAGAAAGGTTTGAAGTTAAATATTTTGCTCAATATTGAATTATTAATGAATCTGAATCATGTTCGTCATGCTAACAAATCAATTTTATTTTTTTTTCATTTTCAGGTATGAACACTCATAAATTGAAAAGCACTTAGGGTCAGCAGGTAGGTAAGTTCTCTTTATTTGAGTATGTGCATTGAACTGCCCTGATTTTGTTGTTGAAATAAACTAATAACGATTGGAGTAAAAATGTATTTTTGAGATGTAAGTTATAGACGTGTGTATATTAATGATCCCTTTCACTATAACACGTAAGCTTGTTCTGAAATCCTATTGTTACTATTTTGAACCTCACACTTTCTGAATCATGGGGACTTTCTCTAATTTTGATAAATTAGGATATTCGTATATTCAGCTTGGGTGGTATTTGGAATAAAGTGGCTATTAAACTCAGCTACTCACTTATCTCTCATTTGATTGACTCCATCCAATGAAATCAAATGTAAAAACCCAAAAATTCAATAAAAGCTAAGCTACTCATGATTCATATTATGGGATATCATGGGTAATGTAACATCTGAAACTTAGGCTGTGGTTTTCATGTGGGTAATCCCTCGTTTGTCTGGCCAATGAAACTACATAATATGTTAGGTATATTCAAAATTCTTCTTTAATGTAGCAAACTTTTTAATCTCAAGTGTGATCTTCTTCAGTACAATGACATATATTTGATTCATCTGTCTTCCAGGATACAGTTCGTTTGTTTTTTCTTCTCATTGTCACATTCCTATACAGTGCGTTACTACAACAACAAGTCTGAATGTCCCATAACATGCTGAGATTGCGCGAAGTTATCATTCCGAACTTTAAGATGGCACCACGCAGAACCAGCATAGCCCAGGACCGGAAATTCCTTTCCCAGGCGGTCCTGAACATTTTTTAATGTTTCTATATTTATACGGTTCCAACCCTAGTAATTATGAATAATAATAATGATAATAATATATTTTCCAAATACAATTATAAAAATATCAATTTTAAAGATTGTTGCCACGAAGGAGTATCAATGACAAATAAAAGTAATGCCACGAAAGAAAACATTTGCAATTATTCGTCATATTTCGCACATCATAGACTGCATGTACATTTGCTGTTAAAATAATGATAGACAAATGTTTACAATCTGGGTGCTCCTGCTATCTAAGCTCACCGGCTGGCGTTTCGGTCCGGCTAACTAGTATATCCGTACTGCAGCGCAAAAAACGTATACACGGTGTGAACGATAACTCGATGCAGCTGTGTCACGGTGGGCGCTGTTGCGCAGACGTGTGAAGGTACAACGTTGCCAGATGAACAGTAACTTCCCATAGGGCAGACGAAGAATTTCTATGGACTAATTGTATGGGCCTGTTTGACTGACTTGATCCAATTTAATTTTTCAACCCTGCATCTGTGTTTCTTAGATATCGTGCTCTGTGCGTTTTGTGCGATCGACGTCTGTATCTTGAGTCGTCCCATCATATATGTCATACATGACAATTGTATTTGACGAAATTTTATAAAATAGTCTAAATTTGAATTAAACCTTCGTCAAGCAAGGTAAGATTTTGCAAATATTACTTGTATCATTGACTAATCAACCTTAAATAAGTCAAAAAATACAATTAAGTTTGTAAATATGTATTAAAAATCATTACGGCTATTCCTGATGCTAAAATTTATCAAAAACTGTTTCCTAGCATGAAGAAAGAAAACATCCAAAATAGCTCAATATTTCTCAAAAGATGAGGAAATGATATTAGTGTCATTGGTCAGTAGAAAAAAAAGAATAATAGAAAGTAACCAAAGTGGTTCAGTTTCCTAAAAAGAGAAAAGTTCTGTTTCTAATGTTTATTCTTTGTAAGACCACATCTTGCAAGGACATCCAGGTCGTCAAATTCGACAAAGTAATTCGGTCGATGGCGGTTCAGTTTTGTCCTTCTTGCATCTTGATTGATATCAATATTTGAATTTTCGAATAAACGCCAGAGTCTGTGTCAACAAACGTCACTTATTATTATTCAACCACAGCCATTCTAGGTAACATAGATGGTTAAAGTTAACTACCTTTTACTATAAATATGATATTGAAAAACGCTTTTTCATAGATAGTTTAAGTTGAGACCAAGATCATAGTTAACCTACGACTGAAAAACTGGGCCTAAAACTGATCTATTTAATCAACCGTTACTTAATTTTCGGTTCCTCTTGACCGTACAATAGAGATTGGCCAGATATATCTTATATAGAATGAGCCGCTAAAAACATGTATCTTTTCCTGATTTTTATTCCAATAAAATTCCCAAATCCACCCCTGTCTCTTGCGATCCGTCCTTCTCTTGTGTCTTGGGACTGTGCCTATTTTAAAAAGGAAAATAAATAGTTTCCGTGCACTTCTCCCTGGCTTGACCAGAGAGACCCGAATTGTTGTCTAACGGTACACAAACCCGACACGTATCCACCCTAAAGTTCGGCCAAAGGGACGAAAACGCCTTCTCCTGGACGGCTACACTCCCTTCAAAGGTCGCCCCGTCAGTTGGGGTTTTGTTTGAACTTCGACGAGGATTGTGTGCCTTAGGATGGACTTTTCGTGTGAAGTTATTTTTATTCGACGAAGATTATCGCAGGGATACTTCTTGTTTGATGTGATACGGTTAGGAAATTCAAGATAGGATCGTTTAGAAAACTTTGTAAGTAACGTTAGTACGAGTATATTATTTAGATTCAGAATTGGAGGGCATAGTATTTAAACTTGCCCGTCCATGATTGTTCACCTTACCATTCTCAAGAACAGATTGAGATTTTGAAATGAGTTTTGGTATTCGTGCACATGTATTATTAAACCTCACTTTATAACATGTGCAAAAATCAATGGCACATCCACGGAGGTGTCCTGCCTCTTGGAGTTTTTCGCTTAGACCCACGATTTTAATAAAACTACTTTATTATCATCAGGTTGATCCTTATTAACAAAATGGCGTCTAGTAGGTTAATCCTTCTAAGAAAAAAATAGCCAGAAACATGTATAACAAAAAAGATAAGATTCCTCCACCGCCTCCTACTACCCCACCTCCAATTTCTTACCCTGCAAGAAAATTTCGACGAACGAGTTTGTGAAATGAGGTTGGAGCAATTTCTTTTCGTGTTTTGTCCGTAGCTCCACCCCCTGTGAGTCGACTTTCAAAAACTGTAAGAATCTCCTTTCACATGGAAGTAAAATTCGAGCGGTACTTTCCAAATTGACAATGATTAGCGGACCGACGGACAGACTGGCGGAGTATTCCACTAATACTTCTGCGAGCATGGTAAGGAATAATAATCGAACTTGCACCTTTTAACAGACTCAAGGAAAATCTCCAGGAGAGCTTTCAAGAATAATCAACCTGGCTATGAAAAAAATGGCGTCAAGTAGGTTGACTCTACACTTGTCACGCAACTGACTCTGCACTTCCCACGCAACGCCCTTATCAGTGCATAGAAGAACATATACGAGAGTATGTTCAGCACAAATTAGTGCATCTGAGAAAAAAGTCAGTCAAGCAGGTCCATACAATTAGGCCATAGACATTCTTTCCCTGGCCTTCAGGTAGTGCATCTGGAAACGTCGCCTCTCTCCCATACATATCTCGGGCAGACGTGGCACCACGATAGCGCGTCCAAAGCATAGAAAATATTGTGCTGTTGCGCGGCAGACGTACGTGTGATTCCATAACAGAACAGTCATCACGATCAGTATAAATGTACCAGCATCAAATAATTCAGATAAACCCTCCCCATCCCCCAACAACCCTACCTCCAAGTTTGTTACATTAAATTTTTTTCCAAAATAATCAGGGTCCTCTGAGACGTGAAAAAACAAAGTTTTGCTTTTCTCTGCCGCCACTGGACCGATTTTCAAAAACTGCAAAACTTTGTTCGTTCTTTTCATCGAAATCCGAGCCGCACTTCTCAAGTTATAGGCGGTTATAAGATTAGCGGACAGACTGACAGACAGACAGACTAACAGACAAACCGACGGAAATGAGGGACATGTTTCATTCAATCATGTCATGCCATATAACTTCCAAAAAACACAATATCTCATTTTCGAAATTTTTCACGAGTACAGTAGGCGTGGGAAGTAAAAACGACATTTATTTTGCAAGACCAGTGGCGTACAATATATCTCTAATTATGATATTTAATATCTGTATTTGCTTAACTTTGAGAACTTCCTTTGGGATCCTCATAGCAGCCGCGGTGTCCCGGCATTTAGGCTTCGGTCTGCGCGGCTGCTTCGGTGTAAAAAAACTGTCAAATTGGTATCGACTACACCGCTTAAACGCACAGGGTAGCGAAAGATCTCCGTTTTCCGGGTTACTGATAGTCTGTTGTCAAATAATTGGTGTCGGGATCTAGGTTTTTATAATTCCGAACAAGTTTCTGTTTCTGGTGATTTTTGAGATTCGGTAAAAGAATTATGTATATATATACATTTTTATACTGAACACAAGTTCGATCTTCTCTACGTTCTTTCTGAAACACCTTGTAGCTGCAACCTCACCGACGAGTAAGTTGTCTGACATTTTAAATCTGTCTTCTTTGCTAGCATCACAATTGTGTTTTCAGAATCCTGATGATGGCTCCATAGAGTATGCCGAAAGCTTGATTTTATCGTCAAAAGAGTCAACTTTAGCCTAAAAGTGTTGCCAATTTCCCAACTAACAAGTAATTGTATTTTGTACCCAACTATATATATACAGGGTGACTTCGAAGTTGAGTCATTTATTTTAACAGTGAGTAGATCTGATCAAAAGAAATGTTTTTTTCCTTTACCATTTTTCTGGTAAAATTAAAGTAACAAAGTTATAGCCCTTTGGAAGTTTGAGTACCGCCCTGTCTCAATAATAATATTATGTGCTCGTGTTTGGCGACAACGGATATAATCCGCCTTATCGGTTCATCGCATCGGAAACAAAAAAGCGAAAGAATTTGGAACGATGTTTTTACAATTATTTTATTCATTTGTATACAGTCAGTGTCAGTCGGTAGTGGACAGTGGTGTCTGTTGCGTGGCTCAAACGGAATAAAAAATGGTACATGTTTATGCGGATCGGTTTCCCAATCTAGTGCCACCAACCCCTCGTGCCTTTGTTAATGTAGTACAACGGGTTCGTGAATCATTTGACTTAAGACCTCACATATGGACGGCATGCCG